AGACTAGAAGTCAGGAACAGATTCCCACCTCCAGCATCTCCAAAGCATTTTGAAGAGAGTTTTCAGAACTTGTAAAAGTCCATTCCAAGAAGGAATGTGGCTGTACTGATGGCAAAAGTTGCACCAACATAATATTAATAAAGAGATGTGTACAGCATCTGTAGTGTTTCCATTATTTTGACCAGCTCCTGTACATGTCTCTTCTTGAGTAGCAACTTTCTGTTTTGTGTTATAATTATCATACTGTGAATAAGGTTCTGCCCTGGGATAAGCAAAAGATATGTTATACTCATCTTAAAAGACAGTGTGGTACTGTTTATATGCATAGTTTCCCGGTATCAACAAGAAATATTTGATGCATCCTTCTTTCATCAAGAGTTTCAAGTACTAGTCACACCAATGTGAGGTTTGTTGGTCTTCTCTGGCGACATGACAAGCCATGGATTAACAGGTGTGTAAGGGAGATTAATCTTCGGCTTGAGCGTTCGCTTGTGGAGGTCGGCGCAGCCCACATTGATGCGATTGATGTCTCTTCAATATTGAGGAGCGAACATACTGTCCATGGTTTGCATCTTAATCCTCGAGGCAAGGACAAGCTGACGCGACTCATTGCAGAGAGCATTAAAGGCAGACACATTCCAGTTGTCATGGGTGTTCAGAATCATTTTTTAGGATAAAGAGTGCAAGTAAAGTTTATCAAGTAAAAGAAATTGCAAAAGAAACTAATCTTTCAGACAATAATGTAAGTGAACCAATAGAAATCGGAAAAGGTAATTGCAGTCTACTAAATTCAATGAATAATAAAGTACTAAGAATATTCCATCAGAATATAAGAGGACTGAGAAACAAAACAAATGAACTAATAAGCTCCATGAATTCAAATCTTCCACACATACTGTGCCTTACTGAACATCACATGAAACAGCTGGAATTAGAACATCTTCACTTAGAAAATTATAATTTAGGTGCTAGATACTGTAGGAAAACACTGGAGAAAGGAGGAGTGAGTATTTTTGTACA